CTGGCTTGGTCCTTGATGTGATGAAAGGACTCCAGGAGTTGTCTGATCTTAACATTTCATTCGACCCAGGGACCTTGAGGCTAGATCCAGGTCCTCCATGTAAAGGCCATCGTGGTGGGCAGAATAATGAACCTTCCTCCACGCCCCCAGGGTCACCATTCTATTCAGAGCTTCTTCATGCTACCTCATGTTGTTTCTGCAGGCTTCTAGTCACTGTAGCAAATACCAGAGATGATCTTCCAGAAGGGAAAGGCTTATTTGGGCTCACAGTTTTGGAGGGCTCAGCCTATGGTCGATTGGTCCCATTGCTTTTGGGCCTGTGATGGGGCAACACATCATGATGGAGCAGAGCCCCTTAGGGAGGCCAAGTAAAAGAGAGGAAGAGCTCAAGGTCCCACAGTCCCCTTCAAGAACAGCCCCCAGGGACCTAAAATCTCCCAGGAGGTCTCACCTCTTAACTTTTCTGCCACTTCCAATAGTACCAAGCTTGGGACCAAGCCTTGGACCTTTGGGAGCATTTTAGATCCAAACCACAATGCATAGCCTAGGGACTTTGCCCGTGTGATTAACGTTTCAGACATTTAAAGAGGGGTATTATCCTGATTATCTAAGTGGGCCCAATCTAATCTTATGAGTCATTAACAGCAGAAGCAGAAAGTAGATGGGTCAGAGAGATGAGACAGAAGAAAAAAAGGAAGAAAGATTTGACATTACGAAGGATCCAACCTGTTCTGGTTATGAAAATGAGGAAGAAAATGGGGATCTCAGTTTTATAACCACAAGAACTGCCAGCCACACAAATGAGTAAAGAAACTGATCATTTTCTGATCCTCCAGAGAGGAATAAATTCTATGAATACAAAATTTAGCTCTATGAGATTTTTGTTGGAATTCTGACATAGAGATCTCTATGATGATAAATTTATTAGTTTACTTCTTTTTCCAGTACTGGGGATTAAACCTAGGGCCTTTGCACTGAGCTACATCACCAGCACTGTTTGTTTATTTTTGGACAGGGCCTTTCTAAATTGCCCTGGCCAGGCTCCAACTTGCAATTCTCCTGCCTCAGTTTCCCATAGTTCTGGGATTACAGGGGCACATCACCACACTGAGCTAAATTTATGTTGTTTTAATCCACTGCATTTGTGGTGATTTGGTACAGTAGTAACAGAAAACTCATACAGTTGCTCTGTTTTTCTTATTTAAGTTAACTAAATTTCCTTGATGCCTAGTCATGAAGGGAAGTATTCACAATTATCTAACTTCTAGTTCTCTTTGACATAGAAAAGCAAAATTGGAAAAAAGAAAAAGAAAAAGAAAAAGAAAATCAAAGCAAAATGGCACGAACCCTGTACGCTGTGAGGTGAATCCAGATTATTGTCTGTGCCTCGACCTGTACCCTAGGCCCAGTGAGCAGCCCAGGTTGGAATCATCTCCCCTCCCCCAGGTTTCTCCCAAACTGGACTAACTGGTTGTGAGCATAGAGAAATAACCTGGCAATGATGATTTATTTTTCTAGCTTGTCACCTGTGCGGGTGCCATTAGAGAAATGAGTGAAAGAAAGGGTTTTTTGTTTTGTTTTGTTTTGTACCGGGGATGGAACTTGGGTCCTTGCGCTTGCGAGGCAGGCAGTGGCACCGCTGAGCTAAATCACCCGCCCTAAGAAAGGGTGTTTTTATGCCTGTTGAAAATCTCCAGATTTATATTCAGTAGCGTAAGGAATTTCATTTCAGAACAAAAATACTTTTGCTAAATTAAAGACTGTTCCCTATTCGTTTATTCTCAATTGGGAACAGTAATTTCTAAAACCTAACTTCCTATTTAATAAATAAAATATAATAGAATGCTTTATCCATATTTTCAGTAGAAAATGTTTTAAAAGGAGGCAAACAAAATGTGATTCAAGTGTGTTCAACGAAGGGCAGTAATTTTCACGTTTTATTTTTTAAATTATATACTCAGCTCCACGTTTTGTTTCTATCGTCTGGCAAGTTTGCGGCTCAGTGTTTCCTCTTCCCGCTTTAGAAGGCATGTCACTGACGCGTGCCCCAGCAGAGGGCGCCGCGGGGCTGGGCCTTAGGGGCCGAGGGTCTCCCGAGAGACAGGGCGGGCTGCTTGACTGGTGCTATTGTACCCCTAAAGCCCAGGGACCTACAAAGGCGAGGGTGGAGGAGGGTAATGAAGAGAATATCCAGCAAATTATGCTCTGCCTCTTCTTGCTAATATAGATGATGAGGGTCAGAACAAAAGTGTGTTATGACTTCAAAATAACTAAGAAATGACCCGATCGCGGTTGTCCAGCAGAATTTTCCCTCCCTGAGTAATAGCACTGTGTCGCCCGATGTTGGTTCAACTTCCTTCTTAGGAACTGCCAACGTCAACCTCCTCCCGCTCCATGCCACCTTCTCCACGGCTTCCTTCAGACCTGGTCTGTCTGGTTCCCCTGTCAGTCTGGGGTGTGGGGTAAGCTCAGTAGAGGAGTGGGCGAAAGGCCTGAGGCATAAGGCTGGGTTCCTACAGTGTGCATCTCTTCTCTTCTGTGAAAGTGTCTAAGATTTGCAGTAAGACTTCACCAGCCTAAGGGGTTCCACCTTCCTCCAATCTGATTGTAATTTCCTAATGGCAAGAATTACGTAACATTTTTCTTTCTCAACAGCTAGCATCTAGCTGGGTTTTTTTTTTTTTTTTCTTGTTAAGTTATTTAGCAAACAGGTACTCATCTAAAAACTTTACAAATGTAACTCATTTAATCATCTCTAGAACCCCGTGAAACAGGTTCCAGTGTGATAGTAATCCCTGTTTCACAGATGACAGGACGGGGGCATGAGAGCTCACAGTCACACAGCGAAAGGGCAGAGCTGAGTTGCAGTTCATACCGGCTGGACAGATGGAGCTGCACATGCTCTGCCTTACTGTGCTACCCTTCCTCATCAGTGTTCTGTTGAATGATGGAGGAAAGAAGACACTTAGAATCTAAATGAGGAGAAAATCAGGAAGGAAGAAAACTTAAAAGAAATCCAAATGAGTAGTGTTCTTCCAGACATTCCATACATAGTTGATGTAGGACAAACACCACCAGATTAAAATCTAGGCTGAGCTTGATGTGTGCCTGTAATCCCAGCCATCTGGGAGGCTGAGGCAGAAGGATTGCAAGTTCCAACCTGAACAATGTAGTGAGACCTCATCTAGGAGGGGGAAAAAAGGACTAGGGGATATGTCTCAGTGCAAAGGCCCTGAGTTTAACCACTCACTTTTTAAAACCTGACCTGGATACTTAACAGGATATTGCTTCTGAGCCCGAAATAAATAAGACTGTCAAACTGAAAAATCATTTTAAGTACCCAAAATAATCTCAAATTCCAGTGAGACAAGGGCTTGCCGTCACTGGGGTTGCAATTTGGGATTAGGGGTGCCATTCAAAGCGGAATGAGTAATGGGGAAAGCGTTTTTCAGGTAGAGGAGGGTTTGTGGACATCAGCACTCTTGATGCTTGAGGTTGGATAACTCTTTGTTGTGGGGCTGTCCTGATCGCATCCCTGGTCTCTACCACTAGCTGCTAGTAGCTTTTTTCTCTGCATCTTCCAGTGGTGACAGTCGGACAATCAAACTGACTCGGGAGCGGGGATGAGGCTCAGTGGCACCGTGCCTGCCTCGCAAGTGCAAGGTCCTGAGTTCATCTCTAGGGAGTGGGGTGAGAATTGCTTCTGGGGAGATCACAGAGAGAAAAGTGAAAGCCAAAAGGCACAAGCAGCTTTCTAGATGCAGGCAGAAGGAGGTGAATCAGAAAGTGGAGGATGAACCACACCTCCTGTGAACTTGAGGCCATTCTTTAGGCAGATGGGAAGCCAGTGGAGGGTTAAGAGCAAAGATGGAACAACTCGACCCACATTTTGAAAAGATCCTTCCAGGACCTGGGGTTTGCATGCACAAGATCCAGAGTTTGATCCCTGGTACCACATTATATAAATTTAAAAATCCCTCTGCCCCATTAAGAATTAACTGTAGGTGAAAAGACAGAAACAGGTTGGGAGGCTGCCCTAATCATGCCATTTATGTCCGATACATGGTCCGATTTGATCACTGATTTGCCTGGGTGTTGGTGGGGGCAACTGAGAAAGCTGACTTAGGATGCTCTGGGGAAAAAGGAAGGAAGGAAAATTTGCATAAAGAAAAAAGGCTATGAGCGGGCAAGATTATTTTACTTTATTTTTCGGAAATGGAAGGCAGTGTGGTAATTAAATCAGCCTGAAAGTGAGGGGTTGAGGAGGACAAGGAGGGAATGTTGGGGCCAGTTTGTGCACAAGGTCTTGAATGAGCTGTTGAGAAACTGGAGCTCTGGCTGTGAGCACTGGGGAGCCTTGAGCCTTATGCAATGAGGAAAACTCGGCAGCAGTGTGCAGAACAGGAGCCCGAGTGATTCCAAGGCCTGTCCTGAAATAACACGGAGGCGAGACCACAAGAGTTTGAGTGTAGGTGCAAGAAGCAAAGGGAGATCGGGCCCTAAGCCTAAGGCCTGGGCCTTCCAATCCCTCTTTTTCAGGATGCTTTTGTGTGTAGGACAGGCAGGATCCCGACTGCACTGAGAGGCTTTGGAGACATTTCCATGAGACCGGACTCAGCTCAGGCCAAGGCAAGCCCGCATGAGGTGCAGGAGAGCGGTGCGTGCAAAGGACGACCCCGGAGGAGGCTGAAGCCCACTACCCGTAGGCCCTGCACCGGGACAAGGCAGGCGCGTCCACAGAGTCCTTTTAGGATGGTCATACATTTCCATTTTTAGATTAAAAACGTCTTAGGAGGTTTGGCACAGCAAACCAGTCCCACTAAATTGCTGGTGGGAGCAATAATCACGCTTTCCTCCGTGTCGTTTTCTACCAGTTAAGAAGGGAGCCCACAAAAGACACAAAATGTACGCTCCTCCTTTTTTTAACCTCTCAAAGGTTTAGGAATAGTAAGAGCCAGGCCACCCCGCAGCCGCCCCAGGGCCCGCAGGCCGGTGGGCCCCGCAAGGGGTGGAGGGCGCTCGTGGAGCGGAGCTGCGCGACGGCGGTCCTCGCTTCAGTCCTCGCGTTCCGCTTACGGGCAGCTCTCGGCGCGGCGTCCTCGCCATGTCTGCAGCCATGAGGGAGAGGTTCGACCGGTTTTTGCACGAGAAGAACTGCATGACTGACGTCCTGGCCAAGCTCGAGGCCAAGACCGGCGTGAACCGGAGCTTCATCGCGCTCGGTGCGTGGCCGGGCCCGGGAGTCGCGA